ATATATATATATATATATATACATATATACATATACATATATATGTATGTATACACACACACACACACAACATACACACATATACATGTGCCACTAGATATAGCCAATAAATGGCAGCTATTATATTAACAGCAAAGTCATCTATGTTTATAAGTAAAAAATTTTCTTCTGGAAACCTGTATTAATCATTACTAAAAAAAATTTGGAACCACTCAGATGGTGACAACAACCCTGAAAATCATCTGTCTCAGACATTGGCAAACTTTGCAAAGGACTGGGCCGTAAGTGTCTTAGGCTTTCAGGCTAGGTGGCCTGTGTCGACATTATGGAACTGACGCTGTAGGGCAAAATCAGTCCCAGACAGAATGAAAATAAGTGGGTGTGCCTATGTCTCCATAAAACTTTATATGTGGGCACTGGAATCTGAATTTCATGTCATTTTTTATATGTCACAATAGGTTACTATTGGTTTTTATTTCCCAGCCACTTAAAAATGTAAAAATCAGAGAGTCGAGGAGGAGTCAAGCCCAGACAGCAGTGTAAAGGCTGGAAGAAAAATACCTCAACAGTTGAAACCCCAGTGCCAGCAAGCTGGGGCCAAATCCCTGGAGGTTCCAATCTTGACTGTCCTCCAGACCTCTTTCCAACTCCCCCAGCAGCTGCTGGGGGATCCAGCTTTCCCCCTGGGTGCACCCCTCATCTTGTACCACAACCAGGGGATCCAGGGTGCTCACCCCTAGGTCCCTACCCACCTCCTGTTCCTGGCATGCCTCCTGTGAATCCCTTGGCACATGGCATGGTAGGACCAGGTATGGTGATGGCCAAGAAGATGCGGAAGAAAATGAAGAAAAGCTCATAAAAAGACACACAAACACCACAAGCATGCCAAGCATTCTTCTTCTTTCTCTTCCCCTTCCTCCAGCAGGGACTCTGACTAAATACAGGGCCTGGACCCTTCCCTCAAGCCTCTCAAGTTCCCATCAAGCTTCAGATGCCATCTTGTACTGGGGAAAATTAGCCCTCCTCCCTCACCCCCCAATCAAGCCTTACTCTGCTGTTCAGACCTGTCTGGCTGGGGAAAATGGGACAAGAATGACCATTGGCTAGGGGTGCCTGGGTGGCTCAGTCAGTTGAGTGTCTGACTCCTGATTTCGGCTCAGGTCATGATCTCACAGTTTGTGAGTTTGAGACCTGCATCAGGCTCTGTGCTGATAGTGTGGAGTCTGCTTGGGATTCTGTCTGCTCCCTCAGTCACTATCTCATTCCCACTCTCTCTCAAAATAAATAAATAAACTTAAAAAAAGAAATAAGAGAATGACCATGGGCTAGCAAAGACTGTCTTGTCACTACTTGGACGGAACTTTTAGCTCATGAGTTTAGCAGGAGAACAATTTTTTGAGGCTGGTGAGATCTTTGAGCTAAATGCTGAAGACAAGTTTAGGATCTGTAAGATATGATTTTTTTTAACTTTCTTTTGTAATACTTGTGGTTGGAAGGTGTGTAAATTTAATTATGGAAAAAAAAAGAAACTACCATTTTTGAAATGGTAAAAAAAAAAAAGTTATAAAAATCATTCTTAAAATTTGCCTGAACACGTGATCATTAAATTAGGTAGCAATGGCTCAATGTGTATTTTGGAAAAAAAAAAAAATCATTCTTAGCTTGCAGGCCACAAGAGAAGAGCTAACGGGCTTGATTTGGCCCATGGGACCACCCCGACTCCTGCCTGCCTGCCTGCTATTTACCAGCCCTGAGATTTCAATGTCACCAGCCCCAGCACACACAACATTATGAATGAGTGGTTTGCTCTTTGTGATCAACAAGGGATTAATTCACAGAAGGTACCAAAGAACAAGCATTAGTATATGACAATAACAGGAAAGTCCTGGACCCTGGACCATACCTGAGCCTTGAGAAATTGTGGAAAAACCTCAAGGAGGCCAAGGTACTGAGGATATTCCAGAGGAAATCATCCCTGGAGCCTTCCTTCTTTTCCCTTCACCCCAACCCCTGATATAAATCATTGATTGTGACACATAAGGAGAGTTCTACAGTCCATAAACTTCTAACTTCTTCAGATACAGAAACTGGACATGTAACCGTTGCTGGAGCTGGCAGGTATGACTACTACATAAGCCAAATTCATCACACCCAATGTCTATGATCGAGCAACCTGGAAGGTATGACTTGACTTGGGGATGACTGGAGTCCATCTAATGAGCAGAGCCATAAAGGGATTCTCTGCGTCTCAGTAAGTGCACCTGCTATGCTGTCCGAAGACATTCCTCCATGCCCCCACCCCGACACACATACCCAATGAGTCATTTCAATTCCAGCAACAATGACTTTCTTTGTAAGTACTAATAACACTCCAATGATTAAAGCAAGAATTTGATAATCCAGGTACCTATCCACAGCTAGTCATTTGTTCCAGCATTTTTGTTTTTTTTTTTCCACTGAGTTTTTTTTTTTTTTAATGCTTATTTATATTTGAGACAGAGAGAGACAGAGCATGAACAGGGGAGGGTCAGAGAGAGAGGGAGACACAGAATCTGAAACAGGCTCCGGGCTCCGAGCTGTCAGCACAGAGCCCGATGCGGGGCTCGAACCCACGGACTGCGAGATCATGACCTGGGCTGAAGTCGGACGCTCAACCGACTGAGCCACCCAGGCGCCCCCCACTGACAGGTTTTAATAAAGACTAAACAAAGGTGCTTCCCCTACAATTTTACTGCCAATAAAATTACAAAAATCAACCACGACTGTGTTAGTAAAAGCAGAAGCTCTTGGTTTCACCACTCAATAGAATGGCCCCGTGTGAACGCTAATGTATGAAGTTTGTATTATTAAAAAAGCAATGGAGTAAACACATATCTAAAGAGAGACTTTTTGACCCACATCCTCACAAAGTGATAAAATTATATAAATGGATTAATTTCCCATCTTAAACATAAGAAGGCAAATATCATGCTTACTTTCTCTAAATGCTTTACAGTAGCCAAGGAAAGATAACAGAAAGAACAGGGCACCCAGGAGGTCTGCACGGCCGACAACACCAGCAACCTTAAAAGAAGGAGAAGAAAAATAGATTTAGGTAAAAAAAAAAATTTTTTTTTAAATCCTAAATGTATAAAAAATTTCTTAGAAACGAAAGGCAAAAACCTTACTAGATTCTTCCATCTATTAAAATAATCTGTGCTGACTACACAGCAGCCCTGTGGTCTTATCTTATGATTGGTTTTTCTTTTCCCTCTTTGGTCTAGGACTCGAGCTAGCTGCTCCCAAGAGAGCGGGACTGGCAGGGTCGTGCTGATGGCCGTTCTGGGAGCAGGACACAGTCGGCGATGCACGTGGGCCATGAGAGCTCTGTCACAGCACACCGCACCCTAGAGCCCAGAGGCCTGTGCTGCTGATATCCCCAAAGTGGATTTATAATTGGAAAATGTTATCAGCTCAAAGGGCATAATATTTACTAAAGAAAATTTGATTGGAAACATGAAGTAAAGCTGGGAAATTAATGTTGCAGGTCACTGGGCAAATAGAGAAAGACACAGGAACAGTGGTTCAGTGCTACCTCTGCCCCTCCTCCTCCCTTCGAGACCAAAACTTGGGTTAACCCGGAAAGCAGAATGCTTCAAAAGGCATTGAGAAATAAGATGAAAACAGAATAAAATGTCAACCATCTCTTTCTCTCATGACTGCCCTTCCCTTCTTTACCTTAGTGATAACAAAGCAAATGTGAAATTCATGTCTCATGTCACATCAGTAATTGTTCTCCAAGCATCTCCTGGCAGAGAAAGACACACAACTCCACTCAGGAGTGTGGGTCTAGTTAATGTGGCACGCTCTGCTAACGAACTAGCACCTGGATGTGACACGTACCAAATTCTCTGGTATTCTCTGGATTCTCTGGGTGTCACCCCAATAGCTGGTAAGTTTATCTTTTCTTAAAGGACAAATACTATGATTATGTGGGACAGAATAAAGACTATGCTATAAATGGAGAGAAGAGACTATACAAAGAATATGAAAATGACTACAATTACATTCGATTCCCAAGTGTGTGGACAAGAGATGGCTATTTTAGCAGCATTCCCATGCTACCCTGCTAGATATGAAACGCTGAGGGTGATTTTCCATGCTGATTGTTAACTCCTGACGGCAGTGCGTGTGGCATCCCAAGGAGTCACACAATCACTAGGATTGAAGGGGCTGAGGAATCCAACCTGTGAATGCCACCCACGTGAAAAACACCTCCCAAGAAGGAAACTAAGGACAAACAAAGCTTCAATGGATCTGGAACAAGTATGCCAATATGCCGGAGGGTTGAACAGTACAATTAACTTCAGGAACGAAGTGAGTACGCAATGAGAGTTCTTGAATACTCCAGCCTGCAACTCACTCAATCAGGGACACAGTAAAATCAGGGATGCAGGTAAACCAAACAGAGCTGGCACACAGCAGATGCTGCTCACGGTTAGCTCCCTGCATGACTCTTGATGTGTGCTTCCAGAAGCATGGGGAGCAGAAAGAAACAAAGGGCATAGGAGCCCAGGGTGAGGCAGGTTTTGGCTCCATAGCACTGTGGTGACAAAGAGAGCAGGGGACCATCCCCACCCCCCAGGACAATGAGAGGGAAAAGAGGGGCATCTTCCTTCTGAGACTACCTACAGGGGCTGAGGATGGCCCTGAATCCCAAACCCTTACGGAACAGAAAATTATCCAAACCAATGCAGAGAAGCTTATCCAAAGTGGTCCCTAAGGCAAGGGACTCAGGGGAAGCAGGGAATGGGGTTGTGAGGGGTCAGAGAACAAAGTTTCTTCAAATGAATGAAGGAAGGGTAGTGTTCCTATAAATACCAGGGATGGGGTGAAAACAACCAGCCTAAACTACTTATTATCTAGGTAGCTAAGGTACATTTAAAGATCTACACTAAAATGAACTTTTAAACCTATATAAACTTAAAAAATGTTTTTAAAGTTTTATTTATTTTTGAGAAAGAGAGAGAGAGAGAGTGAATGAGCATATGAGCAGAGGAGGGGCAGAGAGAGCGGGAGAGAAAGAGAATCCCAAGCAGGCCCTGCACTGTCAGTGCAGAGTCCGATGCGGGGCTCAAGCTCATGAACAGAGAGATCGTGACTTGAGCCAAAATCAGGAGTCAGACACTTAACTGACTAAACTATCCAGGCATCCCATTACACAAATCTATTTAGAAAATACACATTTGTTGGGTAACTGGTGAAAATACTCCCAAGTCTTTAAGCAATGTATGTACATGACATTGTCTGACATAAATAAAAACACATTTTAAAAAGAATGGCTGGTGTTTTAAAGCAAAAGAGTTTTTAGTCCTTACAAAGAATTTTTGACATTATAATTAAAGAGAGACTTCACAGAAAAAAAATTTAAGGCTATCCAAGGAGGGAGGCACTGTGTCCAATTGTTTGGGGAACTGACAACAGTATGGAAAGATATTATTTTCCTTCCCTGTTATCTGTGGTATGTATTTTCAGGCAAAAGTCTTTACAAAGGCTATTTTTTTTCTTACAAAGGAAAGGGAACAGACTCTTCCACCTTAGATATGCCACTTTGGCATACTGATTATCTTGAATTAAAGGTACTTGAGAAACAGCGAATACTAGATGGACGATCTGACCATCCTTTATCCCACTGAAAGCAGGAAATAAATCTCCCCTGTGAAAAGTAGCCTACTTCTATCAGGAGTGTAGAAGGTATCCCTATCACCAGAAGTAGGGAATTTAGGGCTGGAAAAATCTACGTAAACAGCCCCTGTTACTTCTTCACTAATTCACTACCCCAATCCCACATCCCTTTGTCTTACCAATTCTTCACAAATTTAGAAAAGGTTCCTGCTTTGGTCACTTCTTTGAATCTCATACTTTTATGGGGCTCCAGAAATTAAATTTGTTTTTCTCCTGTTGATCTGTCTTATGTCAATCTAATTATTAGGCCAGCCAAAGAACCTAGAAATGAGGAAGGGAAAATTTTCCACCTCTTCAGAGATAACCTGGAACACTCACATCAGGGTTTTCTAGAGAAATCATTGCAATTCCCTCAAATCCATAGAGCAGGTGGTGTATTTGCATAGGGATGGCAAGAAGGAATTAGAGGAAGGGAAAGGGGGAATGCTTCCCCACCTAATTCCTTCAGTATTAAACTTTGGCTTCATACATGGACAGAATTCCTAAGGAGGCCTGAGCTTCCCTCTTTGATACCAAATTCAGGCAACTTGAAATCCTTACCAATGCTCTGAGGAAAAGGAAAATCTATGGTGGCACTAGTGTCCCCTGGGCCTCCATCCTGCTGGCCACAGACAAGAGCAACCCTCCCTGATGACTGGTCTGTCGGAGGCCTTATACACCTACGAACACCCTGGAGTGATTTGGGGTGGCACATTGGAAAATGAGAGGCATTCAGTATTAGTTGAGGAGCAAATACCACTAATTACAATTATTTCATTACCAGTTGGGGAGCAATAGGTGGGAAGACTATAGGGTGACCAACTCATCCTGGTTTGCCTGGGACGGTCCCAGTTTCAGAATGGAAAGTCCCAGGCCGCAGAACTCCCTGAATATGGGGCAAACTGGATGGCTGGTCACCCTAGAAGACCGGGAAATTTAGGTTCTTATTTGCAGTGGACAAAAACATCCTCAAAGTTAATATCAAGAAGGCACAAAACACATAAATGTTAATACAAAGAAATTTATATTACTAAAACCTGGAGGGGCCACATTGCTGTTGCTTTCCCTTAGTAAGTGAAAACAGAAGCACAATGACTCCCACCCCTGAGTCCTCATCCTAGATCACTGTTCAGCTGGGGGGCGCTGCGCCAAGGACAGTCATGCAGGACCCTGGTCCAGCCTGGAGCCCGAAGCCCAGGGCTACTCCCCCAGCACTGGCCTGGGGGCTTTGACAGGCTCTCTTTCCACCTAGCTCCTTGGGCCCTGCTTTTTGCTTATTTTTACAGCTGTGTTAAATGGAGAGTGGGGGATAATGAGTGGGTGTAGATAGGAGGAAACAATACTATTGGCCACGACAATGAAAGATGAACATACAAATAATCTGTTTTAAGAATGCTAATTGGGGCGCCTGGGTGGCGCAGTCGGTTAAGCGTCCGACTTCAGCCAGGTCACGATCTCGCGGTCCACGAGTTCGAGCCCCGCGTCAGGCTCTGGGCTGATGGCTCAGAGCCTGGAGCCTGTTTCCGATTCTGTGTCTCCCTCTCTCTCTGCCCCTCCCCCGTTCATGCTCTGTCTCTGTCTGTCCCATAAATAAATAAAAAAACGTTGAAAAAGAAAAAAAAAAATTAAAAAAAAAAAAGAATGCTAATTTTGGGGGTGTGTGGGTGGCTCAGTCGGTTAAGCATCCGACTCTTGATTTCACTCAGGTTATGATCTCATGGTTGTGAGATCCAGTTCTGTGTCGGGCTCCATCCTGAGCGTATGTGGAGCCTGCTTGGGATTCTCTGTCTTCCTCTCTCTCTATCCCTCTCCTGCTCTCTCTTTCAGAATAAATAAACATTACCTAAAAAAAAAAAGAATGTTAATTTTTAATGATCCATAATTTTTTCTTGCGGTTTGAGTTTGAATGACTTTGATGGAATGGAGGGGTGGGGGAGATGAAGAGATTTTTCTCAAAAATTCCCTACTCTCCTATAGCTAGATCTCCCTTGGCTTCTTTTTAAATACTTCAGATGCAGAATTTTAGGGTTAATATGTTCCCAGATTGCATTTACTGGTGTGCGTGTGTGTGTGTGTGTGTGTGTGTGTGTGTACATCCAGTTACATTCGCTGGCATTTCAAAATTTTCTATAAACTAACTTCTCAATATATAAAATCAGAATTTTAGAAAAGTTTCTTTGGTTAATAACTCAAATATTTATTTTGCTTTAAGATCACACTAAATTAAATGAGGACCAAAACTGTAAATCAGTACTTCTGCCAGAAATTCCCTTTTTTCTGACCAACCCGTACACTATTTCTGGGTCCCAACAAACACTTAAGCCATAAGGAGAAATCACATGGAAGCAAATTCTAATTTGGTTACCGTTATATATAAATAGACGATAACGAATCTTTTACCACAGTTTCCAGATTGTCAGTCCTCCGAATTTGCTGAAGTAAAACATTATGATTTTTTTAAAAAAAGCTATGAAGTAATAAGATACTAGAAGGTTGTGATAACAACTCTACAATCCTCTTAATACCAAAGAACAAAGAGTTTAACAAAAGCAGAACACTAAATTCTGCTCAATATTTTGAAACTCACTTCAAGATGCTCAATGTATTCAGTTAAGTGTGGGGGTTTAAATACACACGAAATGTAGAAATCTATTGCAGAGAAGTAATAAGGAACATGTAGTATTTTACATGCAGGTACTTCATTACACAGAATGAATGGCTAAAATCAAATCTTTTATCTCAAGCACACATACAGACTTTTATTTTCAAAGGGATCTGTGGTGGGCGGGGGTAGGGTGGCTCCTGAAATCCCCATACATCTGGGTAAATCCCAACACGGTTTGTACCGAATATATCCAGCAGGAGCTCCACGGAATACAGGTGTGGCCCACAGGAGAGCAGGTTACGGCCCTGTTAGGAGCTGCCCCGTCACCTGGGCCAAGCCCTTCAGTGGGAGAATAATCCAGGTAGTGAAGAGTGGGGGGTGGAGGGGGGTGCAAAGCAGGTGAGGAGAGCTCCTGACCAATCCCAGCAGAGATTTCCAGCACAATTCCAAGTGTGCCCTCATGCCCTCAGTGTGAGCCTGCGACACCAGGTTTCAAGTTCCACCCTGACATCTGCCAGCTATGTGATGGACCTGAGGAAGATGTGTTATTTGTCTTCCCAGGCCATTCCTCTGCTGTAAAGTGGCCCGTCCACTCTCCCAGCAGTTCCATTACAATTACATTAAGCACGAGAAAGTATTTTGAAAATGAGACAGTTCTCGGTGAAAACAGGAATACTGCGTCTGACCCTTTGCTGAAGACGAGTTCTTAGCTTCTGACCTTCAGACCCCCAAACCAGGTGTCTATTTAATATTTAAATATTCAACACCTACACATGCAACATTTACCCTTTACAGTGTAGTCATATAGCGGAAACAGAAAGTATCACCAAAGATCACACCATGATTACGAAGTCTTTGCCCACCTGGGACTCTGCATCTTTCCTAAGAGAGAAAGACCTGTCGGACCTACACAGAGTCATTTCAAGCATCTGGCAGCGTTTAGCACCATATGCTTTCTACAGCAATAAGACCATTCAAGGGCAGCCTACTTTAGGGAATGAGCCAATGTACGAAAGGCTCCTTGTCCTGACACAAGTACAGAGGCCACGGACGGACACTACTTACACACTCAGTGTGTACCGGATGTGCAGCGAACAGCAGAGCGGCCAACAGGGAGGATCTGGGGGCCAGGTTCAACCGCCGGCCTCTACTGCTGTACTGCAGGCCGCCAAACAGCACGGAGAAGACGTCCACCATGAGGACAGAGATGCCGCCGTGCAGGAGGATGTTGACCACGTGGAAACTCATGGGATAGAAGCCTCCGGACAAATAGTAGTTAATCCTGTAGTGAGCGAAAGTGGTTCATACCAGGTGCGCAGAAGTGTGCAAAATAAAATGCAAAGCATCTGAAGGAAGAAGGCTGGTGACTGACAGTGTTAAAGGGAGGAGATGTAGAAAGGGCAAGAACATAACTACTGGGGGAAAAAGAGCAGATAAGAGCATGTCAGACAAGTGTGGCAGAAAACACGTGGAGAGGAAAAGCAGAAGGAAAGCTAAACAATTTCTTAAGCCCTAAAAAGGCAAGATTGCCTCCCAAGATGATATGACACAGCACACCTTACTCTTGGCTACCCCACAGGGACCTGGATTGAAGACAGTCACGTAACTTGCTTATCCAAAAAACAAAAAGTACTCCTTGGTAGTTCGTCCACCAGCTTTCCGTCCAACAAAACACATTCTCATCCGTCCAACAAAACACATTTCTGACTGCTTTTCAGTTACCAGCAGTTCTAATTCATCATTTCTGTGCTTCTGAGAGATCTGTACATAAGTACTGAATGCACCTGAAACAGCTATGAATGGGAACTTTGGGGAGGTGAACACATCTATTCAATGCAGATGGGGAGGTGGGGGAGGGTGCTTTTAGCTTTATTTTGTATTTGCATATTGACTTGATAACAGCAGGAAGATTTTTACCTTGTTATTATCATTTTTACAGTGGAAAAAACCCCACAATTTCCTTAGACGCCACGTGTTGCCTTGACTCACATGGTTTCTCCAGTGGCAACCAGCAAAGGTCCAATCTCCAACAAACATGCAAAATGTGGAACGTTCCGCTAATTTGCACATCACCCTCGCACAGGGGCCACGTTCATCTTCCCTGCATCCTTCCACTTTTAGGATCTGTCCTGGACAAGTGAGCCCTGGAGTCGTGGTTCCTCAGGCTCGTTCTCCCCATGTTGCTGGGACCTACCCCTAACAGCTGGAATTAGCATGTACTCCTCGGAGACCCATATGAGTGAGTGGTCTGTTCTTCCCCAGGATCCACCAGCTCCACTCGCCCACACCAGGAGCCTTGTCACACAGAACCTGGCACAGCATCCTATGCAGCCCGCGCTGTCACACCTCACCTGAAAGTCAGGACGGTCAGAGGGCGGTAGGACTTGTGGCTGGTGTTGCTGCTCAGCCTACTGCCCCAGAAGTCATGATGCCACAGGTCCCCAAGGGGCGTTTCCGCTCGGAGGTCCTGCAGGGACACAGTAGAAGGCATTCAGGACAAAGGTGTCATGACTCCCTCTCACCCCATGTTTAAGCCCTCACCAGGAGCTCTTCCTTAGAGCTGCTCATTCCCCTTTGGTCCATCTCTCCCATTAGCCCTGAGCCAAGCCACTGCCACCTCTCACCAAGGATACGGTCAGGCCTCCCTCCAGCACGTTCTCCCAGCTAATCTCTCCAACCTGCAAATTGGGTCACCCATCCAACCTTGCTTAAAACACCCAGATGGCTCCCCCCGCCCCCAGGACAAAGCCGACGTCCTGATGTGGGTACCGCAGCCCAGGGTGCTCTGGCTCCCGCCGAGCTCTGCCTGCTCATCTCGTGGACTCTGACCTTTGTCCGGTCCCCACACAGCACCTGCTGCCACCCTTCCCCAAGGATGTGCACACGTAGGTGTCCACCAGACAGTTACCCCTCAGCTCCTCACAGCCCAGCATCTCCTGCCGTTCACGTTCGGCCAGCAGGCTATGACCTTCCTCAGCTGATGCAATTCTCCTTCCATGGGCCTCAGGGCATCTCACACCTGTCCTCACAGTGCCTGGCACCCTGGCGGTTTATCATCTCTAACTACCATCTGTCTGCCCCACTGGAATGGGGGTGAGGCCCCGGGGCCACATTATGTGGGTGGGGAGTATACAGAAAGTGCTTAATCCATGTTGAATAAACTAATGCCTCTTTCATATTCAATACAGAAGGCAATTTTCCTAAAACATCTCAGTTAAAATTTGACTGGATAAGCATATATTGTCTATTTTTGAATCCTAGCTAAACAGGAAGAAAAATGAAAGAAAAAACAACTTCCATCTAATTTTTAAAGATAAAAATCACTAATTATTAAAAAATGACATCTATTTTACTATTAAGGTAATTTAATTTGGTCCTGTGCTACAGACGCTTAAAAATGCATATTTAAAAAATATACATTCATTTATTTTGGGGAGCACACAAGCAGGGAAGGGGCAGAGTGAGGAAGACAGAGGATCCAAAGCGGGCTCTGCACTGACAGGTTGACAGCAGCAAGCCCGACGTGGGGCTTGAACTCATGAACTGTGAGATCACGACCTGAGCCCAAATCAGACACTCAACCAACTGAGCCACCCAGGTGCCCTGAAAAATGCATCTTTTTAAAAAAACATTTAAATGTAGAACTAGATTGTTTAAACTGTGTCTGACAAGAAGAGAGGCAGAGAAGGCATTGCAGAATAAGCAATAAAAGCAAATACTAATTTTCTCTTCCAAGCATAACAAACAGGAATATTTTAGGGACTAGAAATTATGACATGCTAAGCACCACTAAGTGTATCAGTCCAGACTCTTCCCTGCGGTGACCAGATTAGCACTGATTAACATAAGCAAAAAAGAATGCTTTAAAGGAGACTGCAAGGCTCACGGACACCCAGGGGGGCTCCCAGGTTTGGGGCTCTGCAGCCAGAAGCACGCCCACAAATCACACTGCTAGACACTTTGCGGGGGAGAGGGGGCTGCCTGGCTGCCTCCAGACCTCGGCCTCTTGGGTGATTAGCTCCTGACTCCAGTAGGTGGGTGCACCTGAGAAGAGACCCTCTGCCCACGTCTGCATCCAACCTGGACAGTCCCTGCAGCTTCTAACAACCAAGGTGGGGAAAGTCTCAAGCAGAAATGTGTCAAATCATGGCTGGGACAAAGAAGCAAGCAGTGTCCATGGCACACGGGGACTTCAGTAAGTACTCACTACTTAAGTGCTTACTGATCAAAGGGAAAGGGCTTGAAGATGTGCGACAGAGGCAAAGTTGGTCACCTGATATCCACTTTGTGGGTGAATTTCACTTCATTGGGTATTGGCTTCAGAGACCTTGAGCATACTGACCCCTCTTCTAACAGTCAGTCCGGTATTTCATGAAGGTCTTGCAAACTACCCACAAGTCTGGTTTACTCAGTGACAAAATTGGAAGCCCATCTTCTTCTGCACTGTCCCAGAAGTACCTGCTCACTTGTGAAGGAGCTGGGCGGAGGATCTTTCCCTCCATTTGAGCAGAAAATGAACACCAACAAAGCTCTAAATATTTGATTAGGTGTAGCCTACACACAGCAGGGCGCGCTGCAGGAAGAAAGGTCCATTTCTCTTCACAATGATTTATGGAAAAGACGTGTGTCTGAAATTCCTGCTAACTCCACTGTCTCAAAGAAAACCATCATCTCAATGAAAAAAGGCAACTCAACACTACAAGGAAGCATCTGGAAAACAGTCTTTAACACCAATAAAACCCAGGAACAGCCTGTTTCACATTACTGTGGGCACAGCGCCAATGAACAGAGCGGAGCCTTTCATTAAACAGGAAAGGAAAAAAGGAGGGCTAGCAAGTTAACAAAGGAGCACAGTGTGATGCTCTAGAAAACACTGCCAAGACAATGTGCAGCAGGGCCACAAAATGGCTTCATCGGCCTTACCCCACACGGAGGGAAGAATTATAACCATGTCCCAGGCCATCCCGCATACAACAGGGCTTGCGCTTTCCCCTGCCTTGTTCATCAAAGTTCTTCCACGTAAGGTTTTTTTCTTTTTAATTTTTAAATGTTATTTATTTTTTAATTTTTTAATGTTTATTTATTTTTGAGACAGAGAGTGCGCGTGAGCAAGAGCGGGGGAGGGGCACACAGAAGGAGACAGAGGATCCAAAGTGGGCTCTGCACTGACAGCAGGAAGCCTGATGTGGGGCTCGAACTCACGAACCATGAGATCATGACCCAAGCTGAAGTCAGACATTTAACTGACAAGTCGCCAAGGTGCCCCCTTCGATATAATGATCTAAGTGAACACTTTATGTATCTTCCACTTTGTAAAAGTGGAAGAGTGAAGAAACTCTTAATGAAATGAAGAACGGGCTTTAAAAATTAAGTCATGTTCTCCTTTCCTTGTTAGCAAAGCAATCCTGCAGCTATAAAACCACCGACGCGATGTAGTTGCTAGGAGCTACTACTTTTTTCTTTTAAGCGTGGTTTAAAAAGAAACAAACATCTACAGTAACTGCTGGGTGAACTTGAGGAAACTTATAAGTGAAGAACCTGAATTAAAAACAAACATCGGGGCACCAGGGTGGCTCAGTGGGTCTGGCATCTGACTCTTGATTTCGGCTCAGGTCATGATTTCATGGTTTGTGAGCTCAAGCCCCGCGTTGGGCTCTGTGCTGACAGGGCAGAGCCTGCTTGGGGTTCTTTGTCCCCCCCTCTCTCTGCCCCTCCCCCACTCATGCTTGCTCATGTACATGCTCTCTCTCTCTCTCTCTCAAAATAAAATTAAAAAAAAAACTAAACATCAAGGTTGGTTGATAGTCTGCATCATAAAATAGAGAAAATCAGTACATACAAGATGTTACAAATAAAAAACTTACAAAAGTCACCCCCCCTTCCAACCTCACTGTCACCATCACACATACATGTTGGTCACAGAGAATTTTTCTCAACATTTTCAATATGAAAATGAGGTTTTGCTCATTTGGGAGAATCCATGACTTCAAAATTTCAACAACAGTGTTACCAAGTTGCTACAACTGCACCGCCTGGAGAGAAATATATTAGGCTATTCCTTTGGGCTGTCTTCACTGGTGCAGACACACACACACGAAATAACTGCTGAATAACTGAGAGGTCACAAATCTGTGCCATTTCCGCATTTCTTCTCCTGGGCTCTCCCTGCCTCCAAGGCTCTTGTCTGATTTTCTTTTAGTTCCCTTGAATCTTTTTCTTTCCTTTCTCCAAACCTATTTCTTTCTCCCTCTCTCTAGCTAGTGAAAGACAGGCATTTTCCCTGCACTGATATAGCACCCACTGGAGAGCAAAACTGGCTGGGATTTTGCAAACTCAGCAAATTTGAGTCTCCAAACACGAAATGGGCAGAAACTGCAGCTTCCACCGACAGCACACTCCTCATTCTCCAGCGCCTGCCAGCAGGCTGTCCTGATGCTATCAGCAAAGGACAAAGAAGAAGCCAACTCCCTTCCTGCTGCTGCGAACGGACGCAGACGGACGCACCTCTTGGCAGGTGATCAGACTCGTCCATCACTGCAGCAAGTGCATGTTGGGGTGGGGGGAGGGGGAAAACAGCTGTGGCCTAGGATTCTAGAAATCTGTCATAAAACCTGAAATACTTAGTCTGCAATGCCCTTCCTTGCCTTGTAAACTGAGAGTAATGGTCTCTCTGATGTGTGTGTAGACTGGGACCTCGGATGGGGTACGTGGTGAGGGTAAAGCCTGAGGTCAGGCAGGGGCTGGAGACCGTAAACAATAAACAATAAAAGAGGCCCTAAATCACAAAGATGCTACCTAAAAGAGATGGGAAATCTACAACACAATTGGGGCCCAGGCAAATGCTTAACCAAGGTCAAATAGAGAATTATCCAACACGAATTTAGATTACTAATGAGAAACAGGCAAATGATTAACACGTTTACCAAAAAGGGGTTACCATACAAACCTTATTGTTAATGATAGCTTCAGAGTCATCAAAGACAAAATCTCCATCGTAGCTGCGTGCGAAACATACAAGGGAAACAAATCCCACTACTAACTTAGCCCAGAAAGGGGCAAGCACAGAAGAGGGGATGATGTGACCCAAATCAGCGTCCAACTCGGCCATTTTGAAAACTGCTGGCTGCCAGCCTCTTGCTCCAGCATCATGCTGGTTAGAAATCTATGAGAAAAATGACACAACACAAATATCCATCAACATACAGTTAGGAAAATTTCTGCAGTGAGTAGGAACTAGACAGTCACCTACACTGTGAGTGTATAGGATCTGGTCATTACAAACTTTAAGATGTGGTTTTCAGAGTCTACTGGGCAGAAGGGTCACTGGGACACATGTAAATTCTCCTGGGCCTAACTGCAACCACTGAATCACAAGCCCTTGGGTTTCTGATACTGGATTATCTTGAGACATGCTGATTTAAGGAAATCCTATACCTATCAACCCCATAAGGCAAATTGTTTTTATAGTCCTTGAACCAGTTTACACCAAAGTAAAAAAAAAAAAAAAAAGTTACCAGGGTGCCTGAGTGGCTCAGTTGGTTAAGCATCTGACTTTGGCTCAGGTCATGATCTTGTGGTTCATGGGCTCAAGCCCCGCATCGGGCTCTGTGCTAACAGCTCAGAGCCTGGAACCTGCTTTGGATTCTGTATCTCCCTCTCTCTCTGTCTCTCCCCAACTCACACACTGTCTCTCTCTCTCTCTCTCTCTTTTATTTATTTATTTTTTTTAATTTTTTTTTTCAACGTTTATTTATTTTTGGGACAGAGAGAGACAGAGCATGAACCGGGGAGGGGCAGAGAGAGAGGGAGACACAGAATCTGAAACAGGCTCCAGGCTCCGAGCCATCAGCCCAGAGCCTGACACGGGGCTCGAACTCACGGACTGCGAGATTGTGACCTGGCTGAAGTCGGACGCTTAACCGACTGCGCCACCCAGGTGCCCCTCTCTCTCTCTTTTAAAAAATAAAACATTAAAAAAAAATTTTTTTTTTGAAGTTACCATGTTGCTTCATCCAATCCAGAGAAATAAATAAATATTCCTTGTTAAGTCTTAGCACATGGTGCGTGCATGTGTAGTAGGGTATAAAACATGGTCCTGATTCTGAGAGAGCTTAGAGTCTCTCTAGAACTCAGTCACTCATGCCAGTTAGCAGAAAATCTGGCAGAGAGAAGAGTTTTAACACAGATGATCAGGCAGGACACATGATCGATGGCCAGGTGAGGGGTTCACACACAGACGGACGAAGGAGAGAACACTATAGACTGACCAGTCTAGGACAATATCTTAGTTCAGAAAGAGCTGAGCCAAATCCTAAAGGAGAAGAGGGGGAAGCTATCCCAGGTAAGAATACGACCTTCAACGTTGGTGAAAGAGTCAAGTTAAAAATACCCTCTTATTTTTAAACTTTTCTTTCAAACAGGAAAAATGTTAAAGCCAGAACGGTTGGTCTCTCTGCCTTGCCATTTATTAGTTCTATGGCCTTGTCCTTTCAGAGTCTACTTCCTGTGACACTCAGCAAGGCGTAAGAGCTTTCCAGTGGTGACAGCTGCCTGAGAACCCCCTGCCTTGGAATTTGCCCAAATACAAAACTACCCTGCGAATCACATTTTATCTGTCTCTATCTCCACTATACCTCCAACAGGTGCTTTCTTTGGATTGACCAGAATCATGTTTGGCTCAAAGTGTTCAGGTTCCAATCCTGGGTAACTATGGACAAGCTACTTAACCTCTCTGGCCTCAGTTTCCTTGCCTCTAAACTGGGGATAATTGTTGTACCTAACATGGTTGTCATTCCACAGGATAGCCACCTGAGGCGCTGAGAACTGCTGTCTGGCTTTAACGACTGCTGAGGGGAGGTTAACTATGGTTACAAGCACTTTCTTTAAGAAGGGTAAAAGCACAGACACAGAACTATTTTTTAAATCCTAATATTAGTATTAATTTTTAAATACAAATATTTTGTTTATTATCTACATTAGTAAGGGCCCTGGCTCCAGTCCTTTTGGGCGAAGGTGGAGGAGAATCCCAAACCCCTTGATTGTGAAGGCAGTTTAGATGTATTTGTCTCTAGGCCTCCAAGGGACTACCCCAGACTATGGAATCAATGAGAAGTCAGCCAAATGAGAAGTCAGGGCATCTGAGGTCACAGGCATCTTTTCTCTGGCTTTTATCTGAGTGAATGTGGAAAAAGATCCAACGGTCAATGGGACACATCATCCTATGATAACACTGTCCCTTTCCGGGTGCTGAAAAGAGGTCCAGATTTACAACCCAGAGAGGAAAGACTTTGTATCTCTCACTGCTGGTCCCTCAAGCTTCTCCACTTAATGTAATTCACTCTTAGCAAGTGCTGGTGGGAAATATCCCAGCTCCTATCTGCTGCCTTTGTCTTTCCCAATGAAAGGGTAAACCATTGATTGCAAACACCTTATAGGTCACCATGCAGGCCAACTGCTGTGTCTACATTTCAGCTAAAGAAACTGCTGCTAAAGAGGCACCTAGGGGGCTCAGTTGGTTAAGCGTCCAGCTCTTTGTTTTGGCTCAGGTCATGATCTCACGGTTCATGGGTCCAAGCCCTGCACTGGGCACTGCGCTGACAGTGCGGAGCTTGCTTGGGATTCTCTCTCTGTCCCTCTCTTTCTGCCCCTCCCCTGCTCTGTCTCTCTCTCAAAAATAAATAAATAAATAAAAACTTCAAAAATTTTTTTAAAATAAGAAATTGCTACTAAAAAAGCAAAGCAAAACAAAAACAATGTGAAAAAGAAATCATAAAGACCATGTAGTTAGAAAGATGGCATGACTTCACATGAAGGGAATAAAAGTGTTCTTGAATTTGGAAAATTAACGTGGAGGAAAATGCGACAGTTTTAAATGCACAACAGAGCTGGTCTTGATGTTACCTGCTATGGGCCCAAACATCTGAATATTATTTCACAAAAGGTTGTCGTGAGGTTCCAATTCTTATAGGAAGAACACGGAAGCAAGACACATAATCTGTGCTCCTACATGAGCTGTCCTGCCCCACTTTTCATTTCAGATTATTTGTAATACAATGAATCTTTATTCATTGAATACAATGAATGTTTTTGGTACTCAGGCAATAGCAGAGATATATGGAAGGCGGACCATGGACTCAAACATCTGCAGCGCCCTGGTGGGCCAGGCCGGGACTCCTGAAGCATCACCAGGATGGTTGGGTTAATCTCAGAATGATCTCCCCTTCTTCTACTGCAGGGACATCAGCAAGTCCTACATTGCAAGACTTCTATTGCGGCTTCCCTCCTGAGTCTCCAAGGTTCCCGCTACTTTGCTGTCCCTGAAAATACTCCCAAATGCCCTTTTTTTATTTAAGGCGTTATGGTTAATGTATACAGTGGAATGGTTCAGAAAATACTGCAGATTAGCAAATGCCATAAAATCTACAATGTGTCAGGAACCCATGCAAAGTTCTCAGAGTGCAGCACTGGGGTTAAGAGGGTGGGCTCTCGAGGCAGGTGGAGGTGGACTCACTACCTTTGAGACCTTGAGCTTCTCAGTCTTTCGAAGGCTCAAATCCTCACTGGCACAACAGGGTACCACCGCATAACTTTGGGAGGTTGTCAGAGGATTAAAGGAAAGAATGTATGGAAACAATTACTTCCCATTCTTGTTACCATTTTGGAGAATCTAGTTCCCAGTGCTTCATCCCTGATCTCCTGTCTTGGGAACAGAGATGTTGCTATCAATTCTTTATTCCTGCAGATGGTTTTACCAACTGAGACCAGCAGTAGCCCATCCAACTGTCCCAATGTAACTGAGAGAAGGGTGTCCTTCCTTGGATGGGCCCAGGGCACTGCCTCCTTGGCCAGTGTCTGAATGTCCTGCATAAATGGCACAGTCTAATACAGTGACCCTGCTCCAACCTCCCTTCCTCCAACAGGAAAGCAGCCTTTGTTCTGATGATCCCAGCCAGGCTTGGTGCTCAAGTTAAAGAAGCCCTCCCTGAGTGAGGTGGTACAGACAAGTTGACCTGCCCCTCCACCTCTTTTTTTTGTACACAAGCCATGAAATAGGAAGGTGCACTTTCTGTTTTTCTCTTGCTAGGTCTCCAAGTACACGGTCTTATTTCTCCCCTCCAGGTGTCCTGCCTGGGAGTCCTGGCTCTGGGGTGGGATGGTAAGTTCACCATATGAAGTGCAAAGAAGGGAGTGTCACGGAGGTCTCAGGCTCAGTCCCAGTGGTGCTACAGCCAGTTTTTCAAGTGGTAAAACTGCTGCTCTGATCCCTGACTCCTGTGCTGATTTCACACTGTTCAGAATTAACTGGCCCTAGAAGTAACTGAATTTTGGAATGAAGCAGAAGGCTCTTTATTCTCAATTTCTCAAAACTTCTAATATGAAGCCTCTATTTTCAGGGGGTTCAAATAAATTCATAAAATATCAATGGTCAAAAAAACAAGGACTCCACCTCCCAAAAGGAATGTCACTGAGCTGTGAACCCTAGGGACCCAGTGACAACTGACATAGCAGCCTCAGACTGCAGGAAATGGGGATGGTGAGACCAATCTAAAGGATTCGCCCTGGGACTATGAGCAGCAGTTACCTACTGCAGAATATTTTTCCACATGCATGGAAGGGCCTGCTGGCCTCTGGCCGACCTTTCTACCTCATCAGTAACAATCCATCCAAACGCAAGCTGCCCTCTGCCAGGCTGCGATGAGACAGTGCTTCTGGAAATCAGACTAAAGAACACGATCATTTGTGACCCAGCATCTGGAGAGGTTAGCTGGCTGCTCCTCTCTTGGGGGCTTCAAGTTTTGGGAGCCTGTCATCTCCACCGCTCCCCACAATGCAGCGCTGAAAAAAATGCTACTCATAGTATCTTCCTCTTGTGATCACCTTTCTGCTTTTTAATTCAGTAACAGGCGAGAGCCATGCCTGCCTACAGCAAGAAGGACTGTGTGTGGTTCGGCATTCACAGTTACACTGTCCCAGAAAGTTTCCAGCTTGCTAGCTTGTAGCCATTTCCCCCTCAAAGTCAGCCGGCACCACTTCACCCCACGTCGATTTGGGGTGTGCCAGGCAAGGTCAGGACTGCAGGGCGAGGGGACAGAGAAGGGATCCAGTCAGTCGTTACTGTAATTGTTCCTCAAGGAATTCTCCCCTTCCATC